CCTGTGGCTTTGCTGTGCTCTTCTGTGTAAACACAGTCATCTCATGGTGTGGGTGTGGTTTTTCAGGAGGTCCTAAAAGCCAGGGGTGAAATACTGAAAAGACCCCCTAAATTCTGAGTTAAAACATAAACTTCAGGGTAGTGACCAGCTTTTCCTTTCTTGTTTTGTGGTCAGAGCAGCAAGAAGCAGTTAGCTCTGAGTGTGGAGAAAACTGAAGGGAGATTTGCAGGAGGACAGATTAGTGGGACAGGGCAGCTAGTGAACATGCAAGCTTGGACAGTGGAGTCCTGATGGTGGGTTGAATGTTGTACAGTTGTCTCAAGTTACATTGGTAGGAGTTGTTTACCTATTATATTCCCCAAGTTGTACTGTGCAGTGCCATTTGAAGGAAAAGGAGTCAGCCCAGCCGGGAGGTGTTTTGTGCTCTGCTGTGGAGCATGGCGTTCTCACTTCCCTCCTTTTTGAAACTTCTTCTTGAAGAGTCTGAGAAACACTACAAAGACTTCTTTAAGTTCTTATTTGGCTTATAGACATTTAGTGACACTTGAAATATTTGGTATGTCTGTTTCCTAGAGACGCCCAAATGCTGCTGTCTAGTCTGTACTTGCAAAGCTCTAACGCAAGGTAGGGAAGCCAAGAGCAAGGTAGCATGTGTAGCCCCAGGTAAAATCCTTTGAAGAGCTGACAGATATTAATTGCTGGGTTTTGATTATGCGTCCTGAAGCCTATTTAAAGGAGTGCTAAGTGTTTCAAAAGCCAGTAGTGAAATTTCATCCCTAGAAGCTGGACATTTTGCAGGAGTTTCATCTTTTCAGTTTTCAGCAAATGTGAAGAGCCAGGACTGTGCTCTGGGTAGAAGAATGCATAGCAGTAGCTACAGCTACCATAGCAGCGATTCACTGTTCAGCAGCAGTACCAGTGCTCGGACCAGTGTTGACTCTAACGAGAATTTCCTTTCTGTTAATTGTGGTCCCACAATGATTAAATCTTGTATAAGCTTTGGTGATGGCACCTTAGAAGGAAACAGGTAACTCGGCGTATGTACTTGTGCTCTGCGTTAGATGCTGTTTGTATATTTTTAAAGTCAAGCAACATGTGTAGCCAATATAGATAACATTAATACTTATTTTCCTGGAATGCTCTGGGATCACCTAGGTTGGACACGCTGCAGCAGATTGCAAACAGAATTCAGCGGGACAGCCGGAGCTGTGAGGACAAACTGACACTTGCCCAGAGCGCTCTCCAGTCTGTAAGTCAGTTGGTGATTTTGCTTGTCTGTGTTCATGAATTTACTGCACTGGAATGGCTACTTAAAATAATTTTTTCAGGTCTTTTGAGTGCATACTTAGGAGCTACTACCTTTATTTTCATTATGCTGTTATTTTTAATTTTACATTTCTTCAAGAAAATACCAAAAATTGCCTAGAGTGGTTCTGTTGCATTTTTTTTGTTGTTGTTGCTGGCAGTTAGATAAAATGCTTCACAATAGTTTCAAGATCAGCATTTTTACAAAAAAGTTAGGATTTCTTACAGCTCATTTCTCTTTCGTTTAGCTGCAGTGCTTAAGGATTTTCTCTTATTTATTCAGGACACCAAACGACTAGAATCAGGGCTCCAGTTCCAACATGAAGCAGAGATAGCTGGGTATCTTCTTGAATGTGAGAACCTTCTCCGCCAACAAGTGATTGATGCCCAAATCCTTACTGATGGAAAATACTACCAGGCAAACCAGCTTGTGCAAAGGTACTTACAGTGTATTTATGTGAATAAATAAATGTCCCAAATGTGGATACCCATTATGGACAACATTTTCAAATCTTCGTCTATGGATAAACTTCCCAGTCTGTTACTGGGCACCCAAATAAAGTTTATCAGATATTCCGGTGGCTGCATGTCCAAAAATGTTGCTGAAGACAAGAGGAGCTGTTTGTACTCGTTTGTGAAAATTAAGTCATTTGCCAGAATTTGACTTTGATGTTCAGTATGTATCTGAATGTAAAGATGTTAGCATATTTTGTTGCACCTAAAATGCCTTTAAAATTCACTAACTTGGATTTTCAAAATGGAAGCGCCATTTCTGGTGATAGCTGTAGGTGTCTTAAGAGGTAATAGATGGGGTAACATTAGTATGTGTGGCAGTGTGCACAGACTTGGCAGTAAGACATCTGAACAGCATAATTTGGTTTTGTGAAGAATTGACTCCTTGGTAATATCAAGCACATAGCAGCTGCTTGGCAATGAATTGCATTTGATCTGCTACTACATGTAGTTTCTTGTAACACACGGGCTTTGCACACTGTTCCTTGGAATTCTGTGTTATTCATGCTAGTACCCATACCATGCTGATTTTCTGGTCATTGCCTGATTTCCTTTTCTATTATCTGTATTTATAGAAGTAACAAGCTGACTTACACTATACTTCCTGATGTAAATGTTTATTTATAAATATTGAAGTACAACTAAGATGTAAGAGATGATGTGAATTCATATTGCTCTTTGGTACAGCATGATAAAACTTAAGCATTCATTGCAATAATTTGTTTATGTATTTTATTTCAATAGGATTGCAAAACTTAATGATGAACTGGTGGCCATACGGACTGAATATTCTTCTGTGTACAACAAGAGGCATGCACTAACAGCAGAGCAAACAAAGCTTATGATATCAGGAATAACTGAAAGCCTAAACTCAGGATTTACAACAAACCTAACCCCTGAATTAAATGCTGCAATGACCCAAGGCTTAACACCTGCTTTGACTTCTTCCAGCTTGACATCTGGACTTTCATCAGGTCTTACTTCCAGAGTGACACCAAGCATCACTCCCACTTACACACCTGGTGTCCCACCACGGTTAATTCAAAGCTATGTGACAGGAGTAGACAGTGGGACTTTGCAAACACTCAAACTGATGCAAATCAGAAAACCGCTTATGAAATCAGCTTTTGTGGATCAGAATTTAACAGAAGAAGAGGTGAACATGAAATTTGTCCAAGACCTGTTGGACTGGGTAGAAGAAATGCAGGTAGCAATCTGTACAGAAACAGTCTGTTTCCAGTAGTCACATTTACTCCTTGTAGATCATGCCTAACTTTTCCTTCTTGTCTGTAAGGTGCAACTTGATCGAGCAGAATGGGGTTCAGATTTACCAAGTGTTGAAAGCCATTTAGAAAACCATAAAAATGTCCACAAAGCTATTGAAGAATTTGAGTCCAGCCTTAAAGAAGCTAAAATCAGTGAGGTACAGCACTGCGGTCTTTGTTTCTTTGGTTGCTTTCTTACTGAGTGATCCATAAGCTAAAGTTGAATTTTAGAACTGTGTTTGGGTTTCACGGTCTTAGTTTTACTTCTCATCTGTAGATTACATGAAATTGGGAGATCTAATAGTTTAACATACCTAACCTTTTTGTTGTCTTTTGACCTCATGTACCACATACAGATCCAAATGACAGCCCCTCTTAAACTCAGTTATGCAGAAAAGTTGCACAAGCTGGAAAGTCAGTATTCAAAACTCCTGGTAAGTTTGTCATGCCTCTTTGATGTTCAGCTTTTCAGTCTATGTTGTCTTTGATATGGGATGAGTTTTAAATTCTGATTTTTGTAATTTTCTATTTTAATAAAGAACACATCAAGGAATCAGGAAAGGCATCTAGATACTCTTCACAATTTTGTGTCTCGTGCTACTAGAGAGCTCATCTGGCTGAACGAAAAAGAAGAGGAAGAGGTTGCGTATGACTGGAGTGAGAGAAACCCCAATATAATGAGAAAAAAAGAATACCATGCCGTATGTATTGCTAGTATAATCCAGAGGGAATAATTAAATCCTCATTAAGAATTTAACAGATTTCTAAAGCCTTCTTTTTTTTCCTTGTCTGGAAAAAAGGAATTAATGAGAGAACTTGATCAAAAAGAAGTTGTTATTAAATCGGTGCAAGAAGTAGCTGAGCAATTGCTTCTTGAAAATCACCCAGCCAGACTAACCATTGAGGTAAGTTAGTAAAAATAGCACACAAACATAAAAATAGATTTGTGATTTAACAGACCTTGGATTTTGAGGGAAAATAAGGGAAGTGCTAACTCATAGGAAATTAAACAACAGGACCGAACAATTGGGTCTTTTTTTTTCCCTCTTCAGCATCTCTCTTACATCTGTCTTCCAGTTTCCAAAAAATAAAAGCACTTCTGTAAAGTTATGGTTATGTCTTGTTTTCTTAGATGAAAGCCCCATAAAGTCTACAATTAAAATTTTGGGAATTGGTCTGTAGAGATGGTTCTGATGATGCACGTACCCTCTAGAGCTATTGATAAAAATTGCATTGACAAGCTGAGGGCACAGAACAGTCCTTGTGTGGTTTCTCTTCTCTTGGACTGAAAGAAGGTTCAGTAGATCTTTTTCTAGTCACTTACTATATGTATGGGTTCCTATTATGGTTTAGAGTTGGTTTCATAACTCATTTGTCAGTGCATTATGAAAATTGGATGTTAAAAATGTGACCAGGTGATATGATTTACTTCAGGCTTGAGTCAAGCTCTGTATTATAGGTAAAGAGTTTACAGAAAATTTATTGTAGCTGTTGTAGTGTCATAACAAGGTTCCAAAGGAGAATGTAAAACATTTCTCCCCTGTGGATCTTCAAGGAAAGAGTAAATACAGACAGTGGGTGGCAAAAATGGAAACAATAAAGAGTTGGTTTATTGTATAAGAATAAAACCAGAGAGGATGGATTTCTGTGGTTCTTCAGCTCACTTAGTTTGTCTGTGTAAATTGGAAAGTTGAAGAAAACATTTACTTTGAATAATAAATTACTTTTTGTGTAATGTGGGGAATTCTGTAAAACTATATGCTGTTCTAGTGGGTTCTTATCAATGTAATATACTTAATATATGGTTATATTAAATATACATATTACAAAATCAGCCCATTGCAGTGAAGATGACTATGCAGGTTGTGATGTCTGCAGTGATGCTCCTTTGGGATATTTAAAAAGAAAGAAAGGAAAAAAGAAACCCCTGCCTCCTCTACAGAAGAATCGATGCATTAATGCATCAGTTTGAAATTCATTGAAGCCAATGGAAAAACTTTTGAATTCCCTGAGAATCATATGGAATTGAAAAAATTGGGACGTGAGGCTGATTTCACAAAGCCGAGGGTTCCCTCTGCTGGGGAGCAGCCCTGCAGTGCATCTGGCCGCAGCACCCTGCTGACGGCAGAGGGAGGGCTGCGTTCTCTGAATTCCTGTGCAGCTGTGGCACATTATACATTGCTGCAAGTCCCGATTAATTACTTTTATTGTGTATTCAGTGTTGCTTTAATATCTGACTTGTATCCAGGCTAGAACTCAGCTCTTTTGGTTGAGTAAATAGAGGCACAGGATTGTAGATGAGCTTAGGCTGGGGAAACCTCAGGAGACAGAGTCCATCCCATGCGTAAAGCAGTGTCAGGGTTTTGTTTGAATTCTGGACGTGCCCGAGGATGATGATTTCACAGCCCCTCTGGGCAAGTTTTCCTGTAGTGACAGGTTTTTTTTCTCACGCCTAGTTGGGATTTTCCTTGCTGCAGCTTCCTTTTCCTGGGTGAGAAGGTTTGGTTTAGATATTTGTTTGCTGCATTACTTTTGTATTTTCTAAATTCTGTGACGTTTTACATTTCATTGCCTTTTGTAAAATGCATCTCTCTTCCTTGAAGGCTTATAGAGCTGCAATGCAGACACAGTGGAGCTGGATTCTTCAGCTGTGTCACTGTGTTGAACAACATTTGAAAGAAAATGCTGCATATTTTGAGGTAAGAAAGTAAATCAATAAAAATGTGAAATGGTTTAAGTTTTGTCCATAGTCAAAACATTCCACCAAAACTACTAGTTGCTCTCTCACAGTAGTTGTAGAATTGACATTTATTACGTGCACTCATTAGATGATGTGCCATGCTCCCACAGTGTTACTAGGGTTTTTTTGCACAGTGGACACTGGAGAAGACAAGAATCACTTCAGAAAATTTCTGTTGTATGAACAGGAACTAACTAAGGTTCAAAAACTGCTGAATTAATTTTGCATGTAGATAGTACTGACAATAACTGCTGTTAGGATATGTGCCTTCTTGAAGAGTACATTTAGATAAGATCATGAGGAGTATGTGTGGTGCAGTGGTCACTTCAAGCTACTAGAAAAGATTATTTTTAAAAAGATAACACTTAATGAAAACTTCATAGTGTAGTTGTGAGTATACTCTTTAGGTTGTTTAAAAATAACCCAAATATTTATCTCATCCTAGTTTTTCAGTGATGCCAAAGAAGCGATGGAATATTTAAAAAATTTGAAAGATACCATATACCGAAAATATAGTTGTGATAGGTCAAGTGGCCTTCATAGGCTGGAAGACCTTGTCCAGGAGTCCATGGTAAGAATTCAGGGATGCTATTAATGCTACAGTTAAACAAGATGTGTAGACTATAGTTGGATATAAAATGTGTGTTAAAATTATTCCTTTTTAGAAACTTTTTAGAACTGTTAATTAAATAATTGCATCTGTCCATGTGTAATGACTGTTTTTCATAGCTTTAAACTACAGTTTTGTTTCTCTATCTTTACAATACCAGACATTGTGGGAAACAGTGGCTTCAGAAAGAGACTTTGTTCTTGTAAAATGTGTTACTTCTAAGAAACACAGTAAAAGAAGTGAGGAAAAGAAAAGCTTAACAGGATTAAAAAAGGAGCATTGTATTCTGGCCATCTCTTATGATGTATTCTTTTCTTAACTGTTTTAGGAAGAAAAAGAACAACTCTTGCAGTATAAGAGCACAGTAGCAGGCCTTGTGGGGAGAGCAAAGGCAATAATTCAGCTGAAACCAAGGAACCCTGACTGTATACTCAAAACATCCATCCCAATTAAAGCCATCTGTGACTACAGACAAATTGAGGTTAGAAACTTGAATTTCTTCAAATCAATTACAGACGTGAGAATTCAGCTAAAGTTTCATTAATTACCATGTTCCTGAAGAACGCTGGGATCTAAATTTCTTCCACCCTAGTAAACAAGAGCAAATCCTTGTGTTGAACATTGTTTTTGTTGCTCTGTTGCCTATTTGTTGACATTTGCAGAAGTGCTTTGTAGAACTATTTTGTAACGCTTAGCTCATTAAATTATTCTGCTTCTCTGTTAACACTAGATAACTATTTACAAAGACGATGAGTGTGTGCTAGCAAACAACTCCCATCGTGCTAAATGGAAAGTCATTAGCCTGAGTGGTAATGAGGCCATGGTTCCATCTGTATGCTTTACAGTTCCTCCACCAAACAAAGAAGCAATAGATACAGCCCACAGGTAGGGACACAACAAACCCATCCATTTTCTTTTTAAAATCATTTATATGAAGCTTGGGTTAAAACAACATCTAATGTGTTTTTTCCCCCTTGTCATCTGTTACTCTGATCTTGAGCTGGAGTCTTTTTCATGTTTCAGGATTGAACAGCAGTTTCAGAATGTTCTGGCCCTTTGGCACGAGTCACACGTGAACATGAAGAGTGTGGTGTCCTGGCATTACCTGACAAACGAAATTGAAGCTGTTCGAGCTGGCAACGTTGCATCGGTATGTGCTGTGTGTGGAAGGGCCAGTTGGCCACCTGCTGGGAAGTCACAGGCTACGCTTTCCAGAATATCCTGTCCTCAGCAATTTGCAGCAGTCCTCATCTCCCTTGTGGAAATAGCTGGGCAGTGGCCACTCTGCAACATTCTTCCTAATATCCAATCGAAACCTCCCCTGGTGCAACCTGAGGCCATTTCCTCTTGTCCTGTCATTAGTAAGTTGTGAGAAGAGACCAACAACCTCCTTTTAGGTAGTTGTGTCTGTCTACAAACTGTTGCAATAATATTTGCAATACCTAAAGTAACATTTTCACTCCTAATTCCCCACTGTTGCTGTTGAAAAGAAGGAATCTGAGATAATTCTTGGTGTCCCTACTTGTATGATGTGTTGGCTGCTTGCTTGTTGCTATGTGGCATTAGGTGAAGAAATGGTGTCTGATGTAGGCTTGGCTTAACACAGCCCAATTCTAGCACTGGAGATGGAAAAGGATTAGTGGATTCTGGCTTAGGAATATCAAGCTTTCAGAACCTTGATTCTTTGACTTTACCATTTTAGCAATTGGTCAATATTGGTTTTTTTTTATTGATAAAAAACATCAGAGTGATGTGATTTGTGAGTGGTGCATCATTGCTGACTGTGCCGTGGGTTTATAATCTGTTGCAGATAAAGACGATGCTGCCAGGTGAACATCAGCAGGTTCTGAGCAACTTGCAGTCCCGCTTCGATGATTTTGTGGAAGATAGCCGGGAGTCCAAAATCTTTACAAGCTCCGATATGGCAGAGCTGGAAAGGGAAGTTAATGTTTGCAAGCAATACTATCAAGAGCTTCTGAAGTCTGCAGAAAGAGGTGAAAACTTGCTGAGAACAGTAGAAAGATGCCCTCACAAGAGACTGTAGTTCCTGCAGCTGCATACAAGCTCAGTGTACTATCTCCGCAATACCTACTCCTTGCTTTGAATACAAGCTCTAGTGAATTAACCATTTTACCATATTAATATTGTTAATGCCCCAGTTCTTATCGACAGACAGTCATCCTTTTAACGTTGTGCACACTTGAATTGTACAGAAGCTCTAAGTTTACCGTTGTATATGTATGGCTATGTAAAAGTATTGATGTGTCACTTAGTATACAGAGTGCTACAAAAAATTCTGCACCCAGGAATTTGTTCTGTGCATTACAGCTCTCTGCTTAGTCATGCCTGCCTTGGTTTTGAAAGTTGAAATGCAGCTTGATTACTTTGTTGAGTTCATTACAGAATTAGAACTTTTTTTCACACTGTTAAAGCAATGGAAGTGTCCTAGATACTTTTCCAGCTTCACAGAATGCCTGTAGTTACTGTGTTTTAACTCTGAAGAACAGAAAGCTTAAAATACTGGTTCTGATTTACTCTCAAGTAACTAATGACTTAAAGGAAATATGGTAGTGCAAAGGTCATTGCTGCAGTAGCATAGTTCACTGTACGTAAGAAAAGATGTGTTACCCTGTGCATCTGAAAGATACAATTTAAAAAAACAAACAAACAAAAAAAACCAAACAAAAAGCCCTAGAGGGTTACTGCAGCATCGTACATCATATCATCTGATTGAAAGAATCAATCAGTAAGTTTAGCAGTGTCTGCATAGGGGCGATGTCTGTGCCTGGGATGAATGGTCAAAGACATGCTAACTTTTCCATGTGAGGAGGTGATCTAATAATAACTAGATTTCCCCAAATTCCTAAAATTTACCTTATAGCCAAAATTCCTATGGTAACTGATGGAGTTTCAGCCAGTCATGAAAAGACTTGTAGAATGGTGACTTTAGAATGTGTTCCATGATAAGACATTGTGAAAAAGACATGATGGCTGCATTTGCTAACATGTGCCTTGTGTCTTTCAACAGAGGAGCAGGAAGAATCCATTTACAATCTTTACATCTCTGAAGTCAGAAATATCAGACTACGGCTGGAGAGTTGTGAGGAGCGGTTAATACGGCAGATCCGAACCCCAATGGAGAGGGATGATCTACACGAAAGTGTGTTTAGGATTTCAGAGCAAGAGGTGAGGCTTTGAGAAAGACTGTTTTACATAGGAAAAGTGTGGTATTTTAAAACAAATGTGTCCAGGTGTTACGAGCGTAGCCAGGAAGGTTTGCGGTGCACTTTGAAAAGGGAAGAGTCAAAGCTTGTGCTTGTGAGACAAAAAAATTACAATAAATATATATTCTGTTAGATTCTCTCTTAAACATGCATTCTTTAAAAAAAATATTAATGATGTCCACATGAAACAAGCAAAGGAGAGGAAACCTGTACTGATACGTAGAGTGTACGTCAGGTTGACATAACATAAAAGCACTGTCAATGCCCTTTCATTCTACAGAACCTGAGGAAAGAACTGGATCGACTGAAGGACGACTTGGGAGTCATCACGGATAAATGTGAAGAGTTTTTCAGTCAAGCTGCTGGTTCACCTTCAGTCCCTACTCTGCGCTCTGAACTCAGTGTTGTCATTCAGAACATGAACCAAGTTTATTCCATGTCTTCCATTTACATAGATAAGTAAGTATGTAATAGTCTGTGTCAAGTCACACATTGTTTAAATTTGCGGTTTTCTCTTCAAAATAAATTCTATATAAATGGCTAATGCTGATCAAGGAGAAGGGAGATAGATAACATGTTAGCGTTGTATAAAGGGATATCCTGTGACATGAAAAGGCTGAAAACCACAAGTGTGTTGAATGTTGTAATTGATGGTTCAGCTAACAGGAGATTACTGTTTTTCAGGTTAAAATCTGTGAATTTGGTGCTGAGGAACACCCAAGGAGCAGAATCATTAGTAAAACTCTATGAAACCAAGTTGTGTGAAGAAGAGGCAGTAACGGCTGACAAAAACAATATTGAAAATCTGATGGGTACATTAAAGGTAAGAGTTGGCTGGTGCCTTTTCGTGGGCAAATAAAAAAATAATAGGAACTGTCCTGTAAACCTGTTTTGGTTAAGCTATACTGTATAGTATATAAAAATTTGGCTTATGTGTTTGGAGAGTCTGTGTTAGGACTGACAGATTTGGAGCATTAAGAATTGGATAATTTGAATCCCCATTCCTGTGGTTAGGAAATGCCTTGGAGTGTCAGGACTTCTGAGAGTGGCACCTGGTAATGCTGCAGTAAAAGTTATTTTTTTTTGTTGCTTCAAAAGGCAACATGCTTAAGGCAACATAAATACATTATTACATAAATGTGGCCACAATAACATTCGTGCTACTGCCATACTAGTCAGGGATTCCTAGGAGGTTTGGCAGATGGCTTTGAGAAGGGATAAGACTGAAATTCAGCTTTTTTTTTGTGTGCTGTATGCAGCTCATTTTAATATTGCAAACGATGAGTAATGTTTTTTTAATTAGTTAGAATGATTGGCATCTACCTAACAGTTTTTTTGAAAGCTGTAGTTTATAAGATAAGTGTGTTAATTTGCTGTTTGTGTTTTGATGTGTGCGTTGTGGGGGGATGCTGTTAAATTAAAATGATTTTGCAGTTCTTAGCTAACTAGTTGCTTCAGACCCATTCTGGCACTATTCCAGCATTTAATCAGCCAGAAGTAAAAAATAATTTAAACATTTTTTTATTATTATTCATTTGTACATTTTACTCAGGTAAAATACTAATTAAAAAAATGTGTCATAATTTAGGAATTATTTACATTTTATCATTTATTACATACTAGCAATGGAGATCTGAAGTAGATGAGAACAGACAAGTATTCCATGCCTTAGAGGATGAACTGCAGAAGGCAAAGATGATCAGTGACCAGATGTTTAAAATGCACAAGGAACGTGATCTTGACTTTGACTGGCATAAAGAAAAGGTCGATCAGTTAGCTGAGAGGTGGCAAAACGTTCATACTCAAATTGAAAACAGGTTTGTATAACTTTTTCTTACAATCTGTTCATGTTTTATGCTGGTTTTGTTATTACTGAGGAAAAACAATCAGAAGTGAATGTTAAAATAGGTCAGAAGAGTTTTCTGAATGGTTTGTAAAATGTGCTACTGTTAATATTCATACATTTTCTGTGTTTTGGATGTCATTGTCTTACTTTTCCACAGGAAATATCTGTGACTTTTGCGTACCAGAAGATTAACAAGATCTAGAAACTTTATTTGCTTACAGCTTATTCAGGTGCTGTAGAGATAAATTATCTCTTTTCTTTCAAAAAAAAAAAAAAAATCAAAAAAAATCCTGCAGAAATGACTTGCTCTCCTATGGAAATACCATCTGCTTATCCACCTAATTAGTTCTGACAGGCTAAACTAATGAGCTGATTCATCAGTTATGATTGGATTCATGTTAACTTGCTTTTAATTACTTAAGTGCTAAGTCTGGAAGTCTGTAGCTTGCCAGTATTTTCTCTTCGTGTGCAACAGTTTTCATGCAGCCTGAATATCCAGTTGAGATATCATGATGATATGGGAGAATGGTAGTCAAGTGCACACACCTACACAGATGTGCAGATACAGCAGAACACACCTACCTGGAATTCTAGAGGAGATGTCCTTACATGATGTTCCTGGAAATTCATTTTCCCTCAGTCTCTGAAATTCTGTTTCAGAGAAGAGAACAGAACAGTAGAAACTGAGTGAAAAAGTATGGGCAAGTTAAGGAAGTCTGTACTATGCAGCCTGAATTTATTTCTTTAAAGTCAATTTAAAAGTCTTTTGTCATTATAGATAGCCTGAACAAGGGCATCACAGATAGTCCTGATGATGTAAGAGTTCACACAACATCCTTTCAAATTTTTATCCTCCTTTTCTAAGGAGTGAGTGTCCTTCAGGTGCAATGCTCAAGTTATTCACTTGTAATTAACTAGTTTAGTGTTCTCTGTTTAACATTGCTGGGAGTTAAAAGGAAAATGGGCCAAAGCTATCTGATTTAAAGGTGACTGCAGAATGGCTAGCTTTGAATCCACCTCAGATTTTTCATCATTTGATAGCATGATAAAATTTGAATCATAAAACAGTAGTTTTATGAGGTACTGAAGTGTCTTTATTTTCTAAGAGGGCAAATATGAACCACGTGCTCTCCTCACAGGACTCTCTCCCAAATAGAACGTGCTGAAAAATGACTGTTAATACATGGTGGCTTCTAGTGTGAATAGGACAGATTGTGGTAGTTGCAGCATGGAGCTGTAAACAAACTGCTTTCTGCAAATGTTCATTTTGCTGCTTCCTAAAAATTTGACACTGATGATCATTATACAAAAAGTATGTACAAATATTGGCTGCAATTATCATGTTCCTTTCGTTTTTTTCCGTGGTTATTAGCTTCAAAACATGCTTAAGTATGAAACCTGAGCAATACAGTTTCCTTTGCTTTCTATTTTTCAGTCTCTTTTTGGTATCTTGAGAACAGCAGTAGTGATTAAAAGTATTCATTCCAAGTCATACTGTAAAAAGTTGTTCAATATATATGTTTATCCTGCTGTGTTTTGGAGTGGTCATATTTATATGATTTTTGAAGTACCAGTGTAAGGCTCAAGAAAGAAAACATGTCAGTATTCTCATTGCTATGGAAACCACTTTCAGGGAAAACAGCACTCTCTTCAGGTTAAAAATGGACTTAGAGGGTCAATTGCTTTAGTGCGTTAGAATATTCAGTTTTGGTGTAACTCCTGTTGTTTTGTGGGAAGCACAGAGAGTGTGGTAAACTACTAAACTCCAGCACAGCACACTCCTCCTTGATTCACGTAGGTCACATTTGAAATATTCTCACTTCTTGTAACAGTTAATTGCTGTTGCAGAGCCCTGCCTCTCATTTGAGATTTCCTGTGCTTACAGAGTTTCAAGCAGTTCAGCTCCCTAATGAGGGACACATGCAGAGGTTCTGCTCTTACTAGGGTTTCTCCTGCGTGTCATTTATGACACACAAAAATGCTTCATCAAGCCGGGAATCTTGGTGTTCGAGAAGCTAATTTACTGTTTAGTTAGTGTCATTTTCGTATGTTTATAGTGTGAGCTATAGCAGAGCGAAGTCATCCGCAGCCTTTGAAGCTGTATTTGCCTTGTGTTGTACCTTTTTTCTCTTTAATATTCGTCTTTTCCTCTTTGGTTTATCTTCTAAAATAAAATCAGGTTGCGTGACTTAGAAGTTATTAATAAGTCTCTGAAGGATTACAGAGATACTTACAATTCTTTGGACACTTGGATTCAACAAGTGAAAGAAACTCAGCGAAAGATTCAAGAAATCCATCCGGAAAATAGCAAAGCATTGGCTAAGCAGCTGAACCAACATAAGGTATGAAAGGGATCTCACTGTAGGAAAGCAGTGCTCTAATGAACCAGTAATTAAAATATCCGTTTAACCCAGTGATGTCAGTCTTATTTCTTGATAGGAGGTGCTTATATCCCTCAACCCTTAACTGTAACATTCCAAGTCATCACCAGCTTTTATGGCTTTATGTTTATAATGCAGCTAACACCATGAATATATGAATCACTGACTCTTGCCATTTTATAGATCAGATTGTTTCAGTTCTTAAATCTGCAAGAAGAGCAAAACCTTAAAGACTGCCTAAAATTCTGGTCTCTCCTTACCACATCATTTTTTATCCAGCACTGTTCTTGGTATTTATGAACATAGAAGTATTTTCATGGAAGCAGAGCTAAACTCAACAGCTATCTCCTTTGGGAAGGAAATGCAGCTTAAAAAAGAGACAGAATAAAAAGTTATTATGCACAAGATATTATATTCCTGATTTTAAGTTCACGTACCTGCTGTTAAGCCTGGCTGGGATTTTTTACTTCTGTTGTACTGTAAGGCTGACAAAACTCAGGACAAAGGCTTGAACATATAATTACTTGCATACACATGGAAATGAGGATATTATGTAAGATTCTTGATGTTAGAGAAAGTGGAAATGCTAATAATAATAGCAATAAAAATAACATTTTAAGATGAAGATGTGGATTTGTGTTTTTCAGATGCTGGTTTCTGAGATTGAAATGAAGCAAAGCAAAATAGACGAATGCCAGAAGTATTCAGAACAATACTCAGCTGCTGTAAAGGTAATAAATAATGTTATACTTAAAGTATAATTTTTTTTTTTTAGTGTCCATATCCTGTGGAATGCAAATAATTTTTTGTATTTTATCTTTTTACAGGACTATGAGTTGCAGACTATGACCTACAGAGCTATGGTTGACTCCCAACAGAAATCTCCGGTGAAACGCCGAAGAATGCAAAGCTCATCAGACTTCATTATTCAAGAGGTAAATGGGTTATTTATGGTGGGAAAATACGTTTTTCTAATTCTTTCCTTAAAATGGAGTAAACACAAGAATGAGGTTTAGGATTTATTAATGACTTAATTAGGGTGACCTAAGCAAGATTATTGTTTCTCTATAGCTATGGGATATGCTAAATATTCTGTTGTGCAGTATATAATATATAGATATCGAGGCTGCTGTTGATGAACTGAAGTCCTCCAAATTATAAAAAGCTATATGAGAAATGCATCTCAGTAAAACTGTGTAGAGCTATCTCTGGGCTGGATCTTGATCACAGTAAACAGGAGGAGTTTTCATTGTTGCTATGGTAAAACTTAGCAAATCTGACATTTTGACAGATTCCAAGGCAAATCAGCCTCATTTGGGTAGGAAGAATAAATCTGTCTTCCTGGTAACTGTTAGAGAAACAGTGACCAGCAGTGCTTGTACCTCTTATAACCTGTTCTTAGAGGGGGGAAGAATCAAATCACTGTGAAGTCAAAACATTGTTTCTGTTTCTTCTCCTTATAGATCCTTAGGATTTTTTTGTGCAAGTGCATCCTGTTGATGACATTCAATACTTTGGAATCAAAATTAGGACTTTGGATTCTCCAGTCAGGGTTTTGAAATCATAATTGGGATAAGTTGCTAGAGTAGTGTTTATCACTTCTTTGAAGGTTAATGGGAGTGTTTCCCTGTCTTCTCCCTTTCCCTCTTCCCCGTTTGTTTCTCTACAGTTCATGGATTTACGGACTTCTTACACTGCCTTAGTGACCTTGATGACCCAATACATTAAGTTTGCAGGTGACTCTTTGAAAAGACTGGAAGAGGAAGAGGTAGGTCATCCCTTGGCAGCCAACCAAGCAAAAAGGACAGTTAGGCAAGAAAGAGCAGGGTACCTGCTGGAATTATTCACAAAGTTAGTAGCAGATATGAAAGGCTGAAACTCCTTATATATACTGTATTTTATACAGGAATGTAGCTATGTTAAATCACACAGTTTATCATTCAGATAAGGAAAATCCTATACCACCCACACATTTTATCGGTTCTTCCCGCCAGAAGGATCATATGATTTGCTAAGTTCTGATGGAGACTTAGTTGCACACAGTACATTTAAATACTTCAGTATTCTTGTGCTTGATCTTTGCGGTAAATGCAGACTTTAAGATGATTCCTACATAGCTTTTAATATTCTATCATATGCATTCTCGTCCACTTAATGTATGAGTGAGTTCTTTAAGCAGGGAGATGTGATGCCCTCTTCATTAATTTCTTAAAGTTCTTGGACATGCTTAGATCTGTTTTTTTTCTTCTACCTTTCTACTGTATTGATTCTTTGGATCCAAACAGTATTTTATTTGTGCTAGTGCTGAATTGTATTAACAAGGGTAGGTTACTGAATCTGAGCAGACAGATTACTCAAAATAGATGCTTGCTGCAGGGTCAGCCTTCCAAATAATTGAGAAAAAATTTAAATTCTAAGTTTCCTTTTGAAATATTTCTCTCTGAAAGAGATTATATAGTCATTCTTGAAGGACTACAGTGTTTTAGTATAATCTATACAGTGCATATCTAAAATAATGCCCATATTAAATTTCCTGTAATTAATTGTGCCCATACTAAATGTAGTCCGCTATAAAGCATATAAAATTGGAGAACACTTCCATAAGGGTGTAAATTTTCATGTTGTCATTACAGAAGAAATTCTGAAAAGAATGTTAAGTAATTCTGGTGCTGACTTTGTCTTTATTGGCTTTTTCTGTTGAATACCTCTGGACAAACTAACACCTATAGCACGTAGCTATGTGCAGCATGAAGTGGTGGAGCATACTGATGGAAATACATGTTTGTTGATAAGCAGCCTTTATAAATAGAGTGACTTCATAATTGAAGTATTAGTATGACTAATATTAGTATGACTAATAATGTTATTAAGGATAAAAAGTGAAACAACAAGAATTGAAACAAGGATCAAGAAACCTGTGAATGCTGATAGGCTTCACTTTCTTCAGGAGCAAATAGAATCGCTTAAATGCTTTTTGAGTTTCAGTCTGCTCTGAATCTCCAGGACTGCTTTTTTGGAAATAAACACTTCCCATCTTCTATCCTCCTCCACCTTTCAGCAGCTTTCCAAATCGTTGGTAGCTTATTTGAAGGTAGTCTAAGTAGGTTTCCAGTCTCAAAGTGATTTGATGATTTTTTTCTTTGTAATCAGGGTAAAAAATCAGAAAATGAATAATCCTTTTCAAAGGATGGGTGATAATTTTTTTTATTCTGGGATCAGAAGTTGATGATTTTTCCAAGATTCTCTTCCATGCCAGTCTTTCTTCCTAAGCCTCAGTAATGGCATTAATTGCAGAGAAAAAGGAAAAAATAAGATGCTTTCCATGATATCTCTGTTTAATCCATGTGCTGTCATGCTCAGAGTTTACCAGAAGAGAGTGAATTCCAGCAACTTGTGAAGTCAGCTGAAGTTTTTCAACATTTGGGATGTAATGAAGCTGTTGAATTCAGAGGGAACACGACACCTAAAGAAAGCATGACGAACGTGGAATATTTGCAAAAAGATAACTCTTCTTCTAAATACACAGAAAAGAAATTGGAAATTGGCAGAAGAAAATTAGGTGTAGGCAGATGTGATAAAATCAAAACTGGCAGAATATTAAACCAGTTTTTAAATTTCAGTGGTCAAGAAAGTAGCATTGGTGGCATCAGGGAAAATAAGCTATATGCAGAGCAAGAGAATTTAATTGGCTGTGGTGATCAAAGTAAAGAAGAAGGAAATGGTAGAAGAGACTGTTTTGTTTCAGCTGAGATCTGTGTGAGCATGAATAATGATCCTAATGAAATGTTAAATGAGCAAATTGTTGATAGAGAGAGACAGAAAACAGAGGGAGTATTGAAGAGGTTGCCTGAAGTGGAAATTATAAAGAAAACTTCAGGAAAAAAAATTTCAAGGAAGGTGAGGAGTGATGCTTCAACAAGGGAAGAGTGTGAGACACAATCAGAAACTAGTTTTGAGCTAACAATGAAGAAAAATGAAACTGCTCCAAAAAGTGGAAGGCACACCCTGGAGATCAGCCCTTACCAGCAGCAACATTCTTCACCAAGGACTCAGTTTGAATGTCAGTGTAACGAGCGTTGCTTTGCAGAAAGCAATAGCCACAATGCTTTCGACTGTGAAGACAGGGAGTTGCAAGGATATGGTGGAAAAGGCAGCTCTCGGTCAGGTGTAAGGGCTCCAGCACCTGCAGAGACAGTTGCATCATCTTTCCGAGAGCTGACAGAACACCATGAAAACGAAAAAGCAAAGTTAAATTTGCTGTCTGTGAGCAATAGAGGCGTTTCTGGTAGTGTTGAATGGGATGCAAGCAAACTGCAGAGAGCATCTCTAGATAAAAGTTACTCCATAGCAGAAAACAAAATCCTAGAAAAATCAAATGTAAACCCAAATGAAGCCAAGAGTACAATGCAAGAAATTTTGGCTGTTTGTTCAGGAAATATTTCAGAGAACCAGTGTGCAGCAGAAGCATCTGAATCTTATCCATTAGATTTGGAAGTGTCACCAAAGCAGAGTGATCAAAGTTTAGGTGCAGAATTGTTAGGAAATGCTGGTGATTTAAATGTAAATGTAGCCCACTCAGAATTTTTTTCTGGTTTAGAGGGTTATTTTCCATTATCAGAACATGAATTAGCAAAAAAGATTTTGGGTGATGATGAGAAAATAAGCAAGCAGAACATACCACAGGGTAAAATCTATGGTTTGGACAGCAGAAATACATGCGGGGAGAAGTGGAGCAGAGAAGACAAGTTAGAGCAGGGTCAGAAACGTGAAGATTTACTGCTGGTTGCAGAAATGAACAGCAGAGAAAAGGATCATAGCACAGTGGTACCTGAAGAAAACACTGAACTACAAAAAACATTCTGTGAAAAAACAGGGAAAAAAGACTCACTTCTTAAAAAAGAAAAGCAAAAAAAAAGAGGCAATGGTAATGAAGAGAAAAGGAGCACAACTATTATTAAGGTACCAGCGTGCTTATGTAAAGCAAATGAAACGGTTAATTTAAGAATGATTCTGAACCAATCGAAATCAACATTTGAATCTCAAAATATGTCAAGGTCCAGTGATTTCAAGTTGATTGAATATAATTTAAACAGTGAATATGCTAATGATACAATAATTGCTGTGCATTTTGAGATGTTTAATTTTTATAAGTTCTTATAAATGTATTTTTATGTTTATTTTGTATTATTATTTAATTACCATCTTTTCTTCTCCCAGCTGATACTCAGCCATGTTGATTAGAAAGAACAAAAGCTAACAAGATACAGTTTGTTACTCAGTCTGTATTTAAAGTGTTTTTTTTCCTAGCGTAATACATTAGACTTTGTGTCTATGGAAGCATAAAAGCAAACATGTTAAGAAACCAATTTAAATTATTTGTGTCTGTTGGGGTCTGTTCAAAATTATGCCATGGGAAATCTGGAGAGGAACTGAAGAAGCTGCCTTTGCATTAGCCTTTTAAGAAATAAGTGTCATATATCATATGAAAAATTAAGTAAATCTGGTAAATTTGAACTAAACCAGCATTTTGTTTATTTGAAAATGTTTCTATAATTACCCTTCATGCCATGTTTGTATGATCATAGGAATATAGGTGTGTTCTTACCTCCTGCTAGCTAACATTTGCTAACTGGTGCCATGATAGTGCTAATGAAGAGAAGGTATGTATGGCTTCAGCCACATCGTTACTGGTGAACGCACATCTTGCTTTTAAGAGTTTCCCTGACTGGTTTTCAGCAGGATTTTCCTAATTGCCACATTTATACTTCTGACTTCGTCTACACTGCAGAGCAGCTGTGCTCTTACCAGTCCTCCAGCTGAGCTGGTGGAGGCATTGGGACTGTGGAGCACACCGTGGAGCATAGGTATACTGGGGTTTAGATACTTCTCTTCCTGGAGCTGGTGCATGGCTCTAGCTCTAGATACTGTTTCTTTTCTTGGATGAGATTTCTATACTTCTCTTACATTATTTTTGCTTGCAAGCATAAAATCCTTCTTCCAGTTCCTACTAAACTGATCCAGAAATGGTAGGCCACTTTCTCTTTAGGAATTCTTACACATTGTGTTGGCTCAGTGTTGCACCTATTTGGAGAAAAACATATGTGAGCTGTTGTTTGCTGCTGCTTACCACTGAGAGGCTTCAGAACTTCTTCACTTTGTGGATGTCTTTATGAAGTTTTTGTACTTGGCTAATGGTAACTTTCTGAAGCTTACCGTATCAAGAGAAGGTGATGGTGGTAGGAAGTGCTTGTCCTGCTTTCTGGACACAACATGTATATATTCCTTTCTACTTTTCAAGGAGCCTAACATGGTTTATATGCTCTATTACAGAAAGTATATTCTGCCCTATCTTGTTCTTTTATAGATTTTAAAGAATAAGGAAGCATCAGTGTGTAAGGCATATTCAGATCTAATGGCACGGCAAAACAGCACAGTTGATGAGAACAGACAACTCACGGGAAAGGTGAAAACACTTGAGGAGATGTTGGAGGATGTGAAGAAACAAAAATTCCAAGTGGAACAGGAGCTCTCTAAAGTGAGGGAAGCTGCAGAAAAAGAGCAGAAGAAGCAGCAAAAAGACCTGGAAGAGATCTGTCTTCAGAAGAAAAAGGCTGAGCAAGAGGCAAAGCAGTGTTGTACAGATCTAGAGAAGAGCATTGAGAAGATAGATGAACTAACCCTTTCTAATGAAAAAGCTAATAAAACTATTGAAGACCTGAAGTACGAACTGAGTGAAATTGAGCTTCAGAAATCATCAACAGAAGAAAG